AGTGTATCTGATCCTACAATGTATCTAGCTGTGCTCATCCCTGTAGCTTATCCAGTGCCTATAGGGTATCTAGTACAGGTAGCTCTCCAGTGCTACAGAATATCCAGTGCTTATGTGCCTGATACAGACAGTGCATCCAGTGTCTATGTATCCAGCACATACAATGTATAGTCTTTCCCATGTCCTGGGTGCCCACAGCATACCCAGTGCCTGCATTGAGCCCCTGCAGAAGCCACACCCCCCAGCTGTCTGCCAGACCCCTACACAGTTGAAGAAACTGAGGTTAAGCCTCTTGCTTCAAGATTTCAGGCTAGAAATGACAGGACTGGGATTTTAAGTCCAAGAGTCTTCACCAGGGAAGGTGTAGGATTCTCGCTGAATGAGAAAGAGCTGAGCCACACAGGGAGCTCAGGAGGCTGAGATCATTTGAGCTGGGGAGTTCAAGGCCAGTCTGGAAGCTACAGTGAGATCCCTGTCTCAAAAAAAAAAAAAAAAAAAAAAAAAGGAAAGAGGAGAAGGACGGGGGGTGGGGGAGGTAACAACAGCTAATAAATAGAAGAGGAAGGGGTTCTTGGGTCCTACCCACCTCCTGTCTCCACGAGTAATGGGAGCTGGGGAGTGGCACCCTGCTGGTCTGCCTCCCCAGCCTTGCCCTAGCTCTGTCTTCCTCGTCCCCTTCCTGAGAGATTTCATTCGACCCCAAGATGCTGTGTTCTAATTAAGGGAAAACTGTTCACTGCCTGTCAAGTTCTTGTTCATTTCCTGGTCCTTAATGACTGATTTTCTACCAATCAGCCCGCAGCCTCTATGCTTAGCACTGCAAAGCCAGAGTCTCCGAGTCCCTAAAAGTGACTGCAAACATCCCCCAGGGCCTGGGCTCCCAGCCAGCCTGGCACCAAGAAGGGCAAGGTAATCTGCTTGGTTCTGCAGGTCTCCCCTACAGCCCCAAGGATGTATCCCACCAGAATGGGACCCTCTACTCAGGACAATATGGTAAACTGATAATATTTGCCAGGATGGGAGCTCCACCAAAAAAAGTGAGCAGAAAGCTGCCTTCAAGGCTCCTGACAGTTCATTACGCTATCAGTCCTTCCTGAACTATTTCTTTGTTGAAGCCATCACTGCCCCTTCTACCCTTCCCCTCCTCCACTCAGCACAGACCCTGGATTTCTGAGTCAGAAAGACTGAAGGGCAGGGTAGAGGGAGAGGGGAACAGGCTCCAGGGAGGAGGGATTCATGGCGGGGAGGACTAGGCTAAGCAGGAGGCAAAGGGAGTTCACAACAGGAAACCCACTGCAGAGACCACAGTGGCCACCAGTGCACCTACCATCTAAGCCTCCATCCTCAGGAGGCAGGGTAGGAAATAGGGGTATGGAGAAGTTGGACGATGCCGGCAGCCTCTTAAATGACCTGGAGATACAGTACATGTAATAAACCTGAATTCATCTGGCAACAGAAAGTTGAGTAAAACACAAGGAGCAAAAGGATATCCCTCCCACCATACTGGGCTGGGCATGAGACCCAGGGCCTCACACTTGTAAGTAGGAGTTCTACCCCTGAACCACACTCCCCAGGCCCGCCTAACATTTAAAGACATCCAGGTGGTACTCAGTGATTAAGTGTGTAAAATTCACTTGGACTCCCAACATTAGAAAAGGGGGGTATAGAAAGAGCTTCCCATGTCTCAGTGTGTGTTTGCCTGTTGGTTTGTTGCTATGTTTATTTGTTGCTATGTAGTTCAGGCTGGCCTTGAACCCACCATGTAGTAGAGCTGGGCTCAAACTGGAGGTGATGCTCCTCCTGCCTCGGCCTCTGGAGTGGTGGGATCACAGGCATGCACACCCTCAGCCCGGCTAGTTTTACATTTCTTAAACAGCAAGGTACACAAACCCTAAGCATTCACACAGCTCAGTGAATCTTTGCCAAGTGAACACCGCACGTAACCAACTCCCAAACTGAGCAAAGACAGATCGTTCTCAGGCCCGGGAAGCCCTGCCAGCCACTCCCGTACCCCGCAGAGCTGCTCTCTGGCGAGTTCCAGTGCCGTCCACTCATCCCACCAGATTTTACCTTTCGGTCAGTGGAACTGACGTCCATCTGTGTGTCTGACTTTTATGCTCAAAGCTGCTTTAAGATCCCTGAGCGCTGTGCGTGGCCCCACTTTTCTCCGTGTAGATTCAGCAGGCAGCTGCTGTGTTTCCGAATAAAGTTTTATTTCTCACTAAAGCAGAGACTTTGGGGGAGAATAAGATGCAAACATTTGGAGGAATCAAAACAAAATGTCTAAGCAAGACGTGCTGGGGCCAGGGCAGCGGGGAGATGGTGCTTCCAGATCTGCACACACCTTTACCGTGGCCGCCTCCTCCCACGTGGCACCAGGCCTGCACTGGGCACCGCCCCCCTCTAATACCAGCTTCCTGCCCACAACAGGCCGGCAACTGGCCTTGGGAAAGGGACCTGCTTCCAAGCACAGAGACTTGGGAATAAGCACTTAGAGAGCCCTGTCTTCTTGCTGTGTGACTGAAAGCAGGTTACCTGACCTCCCTGCGCCTCACCTGCAAAATGGCCAGCAGAGCCATCAGCATGAAGTGACAAACCAGCCAAGTGGCTGGTACATGTTCATCACGGAACAAACGGCAACGTACGAGGTGTGGTGGGAAAAAATACGACTGTTGAAATTAAAAACGTAGCTGGGTTTGTGGGACACCCCTGTAGTCCCAGCACTAGGGAGGCTGAGGCAGGAAGATCACTGTGAATTCAAGGCCGGCCTGCACTACATAGCATGACCCTGTCTCAAAAAAAAAAAAAAAAAGTATCACAATAAAAGCCACATTGCCATGGACCCTGAGGACACCCTCCCTGCCTTCAAACACACCCATGCTGTGGGCCTTGCCACTTGCTGAAGCAGCTCTGAAGTCCTCTTTCCTGAGTGCCCTGGCAGCCTGAAAGTCCTGAGTGGATGCAAAACATTGATCTTTCATTGTTTCTTGCCATTGGGGAAGAACAAGAGGCCACATGGTGGCCAATGCGGCCAATAAAGGGAACAAGGACACAGTGCTAGGTTTTTACAACTTGGCTATCTTTGTGCATCAGGAATTGAACTCAGGACCTTGTGCTTGCCAGGCAGGCGCTGTGCCGCTGAGCTATGTCTGTTGGATGGCACACAGCGGCAGCAACATTCCTATTTTGGTTACTCACACCTCATAAAGACACTCAGGAAAGTAACAAGATCTTTTTGTGCCTCAGTTTCCTCTTCTGTAAAACAGAGCTAACAAACCGGGCACAGTGGCACGTATCTGTAGTCCCAGAACTTGCAGGCTGTGGAAGGAGCATCACTGTCAGTTCGAGGCCAGCTTGGGATACATAGTGAGTTCAAGGCCAGCCTGGACTACATAGAGAGATCCTGTCTCAAAAACAACAATACAAACAAGCAAAACAAGACAAAACAGAGCCGACAAAGCCATCCACCTCTTAGGGTTCCCTCGAAGACAAAACAAGCTGAGGTGGCCGCCTTAGCTGTCATCTGATTCCCACTGCCCCTGCCAGTTGCCAGGCGGCTGGAAAGGTCACTGTGATATCCAAATAAATGACCCGGGGCTGGGTGTAGCTCAGTGTACATCATGTATTTAGCCTCCTTGAAGCCCCGGGTTTGATCACTAGCACCACACAAAAAAGAAATAACCGAAGTGCATGGAAGTCCTCCCAAACTTCACACCTAGATGTGGGGAAGGCTTCTGCAGGACCTAAGCATGCCCATCACTCCGGCCCAGTACAGACCTGGACCGGGAGCTGTCACCACAGTACAAGGACTTGTGTCTACTGTCTCCTCAGAGAAAGGTGGGAGGGTGAGGCAGAAGAGACCCCTGCGGGGCCCCGGAAAGCCTTTCTCTCTGCCTCCCAGTATACCAGGCCTCAGTCCTCCGCGGAGCCTGGCGGGCTGCCCTGTCCATCTGCCCGAGGTGGCTCTCGGCCTTCAAGCGCCACCCTCTTCCCGCCCTCGCTCCAGGCAGGGTCCCCCCCTTCTTAGTCACAGGTACATCCGGAGGCGTCTTCTTTCTCCCCGTCCCGGCCTCTGCTCCTCGGGGCTTCCCCCTCTCAACCCAACCCCCGCCCCGCCCCCTCTATCCCTGTCATCGTCCCCCCTCCCCCCCCACCACGCATGTCCCCCGGCCAGGGCGGTGTCCTCGCTGTGCTGTTTACAAAATAATTCTGGCATCTGACGCCTGGACTTGGCGCTCGGGTTTTTCCTAGTGGATCAGCGGCCTCCAGTCCCGTCCTTCCCGCTCCGTGAGGTGCCCGACGTGGATTCCCCCTGTCTCTGCGGGGGCGGCGCGCCCGGGGTCTGGAGGTGACCAGTCAACCTAGCTCAGAGGGCCCCCCAACATCACCGGCCGGCGAGCTCCCCGGGTCCCACGCACTGGGACGAAAGCGGCGGGGCGGGCAGGGCCCAGATCAGACTCCGGCTAGGAACTCGGGGACCCCGGGCCACCCCCAACCCACAGGAGGGGGCAGTACCTCTGGGATCCGGAGGAAGGTGGGGTTCGCACAGTGCGCGCGGAGCCGCTCCGAGACCGAGGATCCTCTGGGGTCTCGGCGGGGCCCTTTCAGATCGCGGCCCCAGGCCCGCCCCACGTGCCGGTCTGTCCTTTCCCGAAGTTCGGTCCACGTGGTCTCTCGGCGGCCTGGCGACGGCTGCGCTGCGCCCGCTTTAGGCGGATTACGGTAGCGCGGAGTGGCGCCCCGCCCGCCCGCCGCTCCGCGCGCGCCCCGGCCCCGCCCCCGCCCGCGCGCCGCCTTCGCACCCGGCTCAGTCGCAGCCCGCGGAGTCCGGAGCCGGCCGCCCTGCAGCCCGGAGCGAGCGGCGGCGGCCGGGACGGAGCCCAGCGCGCCAGGAGGGCGCGGCGCGGCGGGGAGGAGCCCGGGCCGGACCGGGGGCGGAGACGCCAGGGTCCCGGAGGCCGGAGCAGCGCGAGCCGGGGCGCGCCGAGCTCCGCCGGGGCGCGCCGAGCTCCGCCGAGGCGCCCGCGATGGCCCGGCGCGGCTAGGGCGCGCGGCGCGGGGAGGACGCCAGGGCGCGGCGGGGCGGGCGGCGACCCGAGCGAGCCCCATGCCCCGCGCGGGCTGAGCCGGGCCCGACAGGTAGGTGGCGGCGCGCGGAGACGCGTGGGGGCTGGGCCGGCGGCCGCTCCAACTCCGGCTGGCTCGCGGCGCACTTTGTGTTTGCAAACTGCCCCGCGCGGCCGGGAGGAGCGGCCGGGAGCAACCGGGCCTGGGCCGCCACACTTTGTTCCACTCGGGCCGGGCGGGGACCGGCGTGCCGATCCCGGGAACCCACGAGCCCCCGGGGACCCCGGCCCGCGCCGCCGAAGAACAGGTGGGGGCCGCGGGGGGGGCGACGTGAGGTCGAGGGGTGCTGGAGAGGCCACCCCGGCCCGCCCTCGCCGGGACTCGGGCTCCGCCCCTCCCGGCCTCGCCTGCGGGAACGGGGTGTAGGGGGCGCGAACCCCCCCCACCCCGAGTCAGACAAAGAATGCGTCCCGGCCCGGACTTTCCCGAGCCGGGAAGGGAAGTGAGGAAGTGGGCGCCCCGCTCCCATTTGCGGGACTCCCCGAGGCACGCCGGAGACGGGTGGGGGGGCGGAACCGCAGTGCCACCCGCGCGTCGCCGGGGTGAGGAGGAGGCTCGGGCTGAGAGCGAGCCCGGCCGCGCGGAGAGTGGTCAGCCTCTTCTCTCGCCCCGCGTTCAGAGCCGACACGGAGCGGAAAACTTCTTAGGGACTTGGAGCGCCTGGAAACGGCCCAGTGGTTTTCGTTCGCCCGAGCGCGAGGGTGGGGACCGACCCAGGCGCCTCTGCGCGCCCCATCTGGGGAAACCTCGCGCCCCACCGCGTAGCGGGGGTCACAGAGGGCAGCAGCGGGGCCTGATCTCACTGCGGAAGGGGTTCCCGAATGATCCAGCAGGATCCCTGCTTCCGGGGCCGAGGACTCTGTGTCTCCTTCCCCCCAACACTTCTGGGACCCGCGCGTGGCCACCCACCCCACCCCCACCCCCGCGGCCCGGGCCGCGCGCGCTCCGCTCGGAAGCTGAACAAACTTTGCGCTGCGCCCGGGCCCAGCCGCGGCGCTGGAATGCGGGGCGCCCCGGAAAAGGATCGTGTGATTTCGCGGGATGCGGATTCTGAGGCTGAGGCCCTGACGCCGGCAGATTCCCTCGCTGCCCCAGCTGGGTCGACCTCAGGCACTCATCCGCGCCCCACCACTGACTCAGACTGGGAGGATGAGAGCAGGGAGTTCACGAGGTCCGAGCGCCCCTCCTTTGCGCCCCTGGCCTGTCTCCTCCCGGCCCGGCCCGGCCCGGCCCGGCGGGTTCTCTTGTGCGCTGGGCACCTGATGTCCCAGGTCCCTGGGAATTCCCCCGTGTCCTTGCCCGGCGATCGAGGCGTCCTGACCTGGGGTCTAGGGCAGGGCAGAGGGCCCAAGGAGCAAACCAAAGTCGGAAGCCCCGTTTCTTGTGGGTTCCGGAGAAAGCCCAGGAGCGTTTTGGCCAATGCGGGATTTTTCCCCGAAGTTAAGCATCTCGCCCTGTTCACAGCCTCTGCTTGGAGACTGGAATTGGGGCCCGGACACTGTGGAGACGCAGTTGCCTCCTTCCACTGAGTGCCCCCTGGTCCGACGGAGGAAGGGGGAGCAGCCCGGCCAAGGCTGCGGGAGGATCGGTGCGCCCTGCCGTCCCGCCCGTCCCTGAAGGTCGCCTTCCCCGGAGAACTCAACTGATAACCGTCCTGGCTTCCCTGTCCCGGCTTCCCTGCCCCGGTGGCCCTGGCATTTGAAGACTAAGCGAGCCTCTGGCCCTGGGAACCTGGCCTGCCCGGTGGAAAACCACACCGCTGTGGGGGAAATGGCAGCCGTCCCCCCCCCCCCCCACTTGAGAAACTTTGTTTCGCCCCGGGCTTGGGGAGCTCAGAGTGACTGTTGGTGCCTAGGCCCCTCCCTGGCTCCCGCGGAGCCCTCAAGTCTAGTTCTCTCTTAAGAGTGTGTGTTGGGGGCTGGGCATCTGGCGCTGCTCCCCCACTCTCCCAGGCCCTCAAGGAGGTCAGAATCTCCCTACTCTCAGGCCCCTGCTTTCCCTGGGGAACCAGCCTTGGCGCTAAGTTGGGGGACACCACCAGAACTAGTTTCAGCTGTTAAGGCCCCTGGGTGGGTGGGGTTTTCTGTCCCAGGCAGGTTTCCCAGAATTCTGGAGTTGGGGAGCCCCTTGACCCTGAGAAGGAAAGCCTGACACCTGTAGCTGAAATACCAGCGCCAGGGCTGGCTGAGTCCAGCTCGACGAGGGACCTGCCCGGTTCTTCTGGTGGAGGTGCCCACCTCACACCTGACACCCTAGACTGAAGGCAGGTGGGGCCCCTTCTTAGAGCCAGGAATGTGCATATCCCACTGCATCCCACTCTAAACCCATCTCTTCCTCAGGGAGAGAGAAGCAGGCCATTGGGGTGGGGGGCTTTCCTCTGAGCCTCAAGTGCTTGCAGAGTGCCAGCTTTGCCGGACAGATTCCAGGCTGGGTTCTGGGGAACCCAAGTGATAAAAGCTGGAGCAGGGGCATCAGGGAGGAGCATTTTACAGGAGGGGTGTAAGGTGTCAGGGAAGGGGAGGGACGTCTCCCCAGGGACCCCCTGCTCCTGCCTTCCCTGTGTCTTAACCTTCTGCTGCACCACTGCCTTGGCAGTTTTCTGGGCAGTGCCCTGTCTCTGCGGCCCCCATGCCAAGTGGACACAGTAGCCCTACCTTTCTCATAGCCCGAACCAGATGAAAGACCGATGTCTCCCATCCAGAGTACTCTCCCTGTCACTACCCTGAGGTCACCTCGCTGGCCCAGCTTCCCTAGGCCAAGAGTGGTTTTCATCAGGACACTGTGGCTCGACGCTGGCTGAGCTGACTTCCTCGGACTTGGTTCTGGAATCCGGAACCCGGGGCATGGAAGCCAGGCCTCCCCAGGGCAGAACACTGATCAGTGGAAAAGGCTTTGGAACTTGGCAGTAGAGATGGGTGTCTCGGGGGAACTTAATTAAGCTTCTCAAACCTCAATTTTCTCAGGTTGTAAAGTAGGTCAGTAATACCCGGCGTCGAGCATCCGCTTGGGAGTTGAGTGGGAGGTGGAGCCTCAGTCCAGGGGTGGCTTTTAAAAATTAGCAGTGGATGACCAGCGCTGTCAGGCCGCTTCCTGGGCCGAATATGGGAGCATTAACCTTTGTTCTGTGTGCTGGAAAATCAAGCCCAGAGAGAGGAGGTGACTCGTCCATGGTCACATAGCTGCAGAGGAGTGGAGCTGAAACTAAAAAGTGGGGCTCCTGGGCCGGGGGTTTAACTCAGCAGCGTAAGCGCCTGCTTGACAAATTCGAGGTCGTGAGTTCAATCCCTGGCACCAAAAAAAAAAAAAAAGTGGGGCTCCTACTTCTCCTATGACAGGGAGAGAGGAGGTTGGGGAGAGGAGTGTCACTTCCCCGCCTCATCTCCTTCCTTTGTCCTGCATGCACCCCACAGTGTCCCCAGGCCTGCTGAGGTGCTCAGGGAGGAAGAATTTAGTGGAACGTAGAGGATAGATGGCCAGAACCCCTCCTTCAGAAAGGGAGAGTCCTAGCGTTCCCCTCTGGAACCTGCCACGGAACCCAGTGAGTTGTGGGTTCTCTGACTGCCTCCTTCCCCGGACTCTCCATGAAGCACTGTGCACCTTCGCCCACCGCCCCTCCCTGCAACCCTTCCAAGCTGTGATCTCTGCAGAAACTTGCTAGTCTGTAGGGCCCCTGGGAGACGCTGCCCCTGGGCCTCAGCAGCCTGGACGCAGGCACACTGGGAAGCAGGGCTTTTGCACACAAGGTGCACACTGCAGGGGGTCACAGGGTGTTGGGACCTCAGAGGTCAGAGCCTGCAGTGTCACCCAGCAGGCCTGGATCTTCCCTTGCCGTGGGCCCTGGTTCTTGGGCCCTCCTCCCCGGGGGCCAGCATCTTTTCTTGACTCTCTTCCTCCTTGGAAGTCCTGTGCCTTACTTCTTCCCAGCCAATCCCAGCTGCTCTGTCCAATTCCAGGGTCTCCTTGAAAACTGGGTCCCTGGGTGGTGCCGGGTAGAGGGAAGGGGTGTTTCCCACTGGACTGGGTTCTGATGGCACTGGACTTGGGTTACCAGATAGGAGCCAACAACGCAGGGTCAGACCCTGGGGGGCTGGAAGTGACCCACCATTCTGCCTGGCAGAGGAGGGTGAAATGGTGATCATTTGAGGGAAGGGCGGCCTGGAGAAAGGAGCCGGGATGCCTACCTGTTTGTGTCTGCTTGCTCTCCAGATGCCAGAGCCCCTACTGCGTGCAGGGACAGCTGGAGGGACCCAGAAAAGGTCAGATACGAGGTGGCTCATATGAGGTCAGATACAAGGGCGCCCACTTTTCTAGAAGGCTTCTAGGAGACCCAGGCTTAAACAAAATGCAGCAGAAGAGGAGAATAGTGTCTTCTCTCTTGCCTCACGGGGTTGCCCAGGGCTCTAGGAAGGCAAATGGATGGCTGTGGGGACCTTGTGGGGAAAAAGCATCAAGACTGCAGGAGGCCAGACAGGAGGCCGGCCAGCAGCAGCCACTCTAAGCTTGGAGGAGCCTCCAGAGCTGAGCCCAGGGCTTCTCCAGGCCTCCCACCTCTGGCTCAGAGCCGGAGGCCTCCGGAGTGGGGCTGCGTTTCCACTGGCAAACCTTCCTTCACGAAGCCGCGGGATTTGCGCACAGAGCCAGGGCCACCACCGCCTCCCATCTGCACAGGTTGCCGCCAGCTCCTTAAGGCCTGAGATCCCAGCTAGGGGATGGGTTTGGCCCTCGAAGGAGCACCCAGAAAATGTGTACACTACTGTCTGGCTCTGACAGGTCTAGGGGGCGGGGCAGCTCAGGCCGCTGGGCCTTTTTCCAGCCCAGAGGCCTGTGCCCAGGTGCACTGTGCGGGGCGCTGCTCCCGCCATCCCAGTTCTGCACTCTGGCCTCCCGGAATGCCTCAGTGCATCCTCATCCTCTCCTGTCTTGATTCCTGCAGCCACCCAGCCTTCCCAAAAGGGGTGCTGTGGAGCCCACGCCCGGGCCCCTGTGACCCACACAAGTCTCCTCCTTGCCAA